ATAATAATAATAATAATAATAATAATAATAATAATAATAATAATAATGATAATAATAACAATAATAGACGCGTGCCTTTGATTAATAAGCGACACTTAATTTTTTGTTTCGTGGATTTGACTCTGTTTATCCGACAGAGGGGAGAAAAGTGACGAAAAATACGAAAAATAAAAAAATAAAAAAACAAGGAGAAAAATGTTAAATTCCATTGAACGTACAGTAATGCCGTTTAATGATTTTACATGTTTCAAAAACGACTGTGCCGTTTACGACTATGTAGTCGTTATTTTTTCAATTTTTATGGGAAAACTCCAAGTGTTCCGTTACAAGGAACAAAAGCCGTTTTTATAGTATGTTGGAATATTTTGTTTTACCTTTATACGAGCGTATCATATATATATATATATATATTTATTTATTATTCGTCCACACTGGAAACCAAGAAATGCGCCATAATAAGTCGGGGTTAGTGAGAAGACAAAAAACGCGACTAACAAGATAATATAATTTTTTTTTTTTTTTTGTTATTCAATACTTTATAGTATCACGAGACTTTATTGTCACTGGTATGTCTTAAAATATTATTAGCCAATTATAGTTGTCGTTTCGTTTTTATTCATTTGGAATAATATAACGAATATGCGTTGAATGTGTATTTTTAAGTACTTGTATACATACTATATATTTAATAATAATTTGTATCTAGTATCAGACATGTGTGCAAAAATATTTTACGGTTTGTATGTGTGACGAGATGATGTACAATAACAGGAAACGTGGTCAAATCATTTCTTATGACTGCAGCTGTTATAGTTTTTTGTACTTTAAAGTGAGGTAATTTGGTAAAGTAAAGCATACCTCTTCATGATATTTTCCTTGTGAACCCTGACCTATTTGTTCTGTATGTATATTGTATATACAACAATAATATTACTAAATTTTACGATACCATGAGTATTGGAACGCACAGCAATTTGTCACTGAAAAATTACCGTAGATAAAATTCGGGATTTTCGCTTTGAAAGGATTGTTATCTTTAACCCGTACAACTTGTTTGATTTGACGACTTTTTTTTCAAACATTTTAAAATCTTCAGAATCAAGCGTGGAGTGTTTTCGGAGATTGAATCGTGATTAAAAAACATTACGTTTGATCGATTCAATAAAAATTAAAAATTATGCAACAGATAGGAAAAATAACTAAATTTTTTATTTGAGAGAGACGAAAAATATTTAAAGCAAAAAAAGTGTTGAGACAAAGTTATTATTATTTGCATTTGTAGTTATTCATTTTATCAATTCTTATTCTAAACATCAGAAATGATAATATTTTATTTAAAAACATATACAGAAAATAGGTTTATGATAACTTAAGTAAGAAAAGTGCGCTTTTGATTGAAAACGTTCGAGTGATAGAAAAAATGGTGTCGATTTTTGTACAATATCATATAATATAAGAATAGACTTATTAGGATTGTTATTAATTGCATATTTATATCTTCTAGAAGAAATTTGTACAATGGTCTGATATGGAAACTAAAATAATAATTGCTGTCTAAAATTATTGGTAATGTGTGGTGGATGTACTGTTCTAACTTTTGAGATTTCATTCCATAAAAATATAAAAAGTTTTCAAACTGACCATTTAGACGTGTGTTCGTTGAACAAATAAATTAGATAACAGTACTTAGTAATAGATAATTCTATAACATCATTATCTTTAAGCTAATATACAATATTGTTACATATATAAATATGTATTTTTTTTTCTATTTTCGTTTTTTATTTATGATAAATTTCATAAAAATTTTATTACGAAGCACACATCATATTGTGGATATTCGACTTATTTCATTAAAATAATACATTTGAATAATACATGGTCAGTCTGAGTACTCATATATATTTATAGTAGAATAAATCGATATTCCAATTTCAATCCACCTATTTAGCCTGTAATCCTTTAAATCGTAACCCGTTACATATAATTCACAATAAATAAAAAAAAAACATATTATGGTTGTACAGCAATTTGGCCATTTTATTTTTACGAGAACAGATTATAATTTTATTTAAATTTAATTTCATTACTTCAACTTATTAAATACTAGGTATTTAATCGATTATAGTTAAAATTGTATTAAAATGCATTGAAATATTCGTTAGCTATTTCTTATTACGTAGTTAGTTGACATACCTCTAGTAAAATATATGATGTTTTATTATAAAGACAACGAAGATTGGACTTTTTGGACTTATTTCAACGATAATGCAACGAACCGTTTTAAATTATTTAAAATTGTTAAAAATTGGAAAATAAAATAATATACTCATAAAATAGATAAAATGAAAAAAAAAAAATAATATATATATATATATAAATGTATGTATGAAAGCCCGGCATTCATTGTATACATTTATTTACTGTATATATTTGTTTGTTGAGATAAATGAAATTTGTCAGACGTAGGAATTGGAATAATTTACTTGTCTCTAAAGTAATTTATATACTATGTATCTGTAACTCGCCTACTATAATTATTTATAATATTTTCAATCTACTATTATGATGTACCTAGACACAACCATATATATATATAATACGTATTAGCTTTTTTGTTTTTCTTATTGAAACCGTGTGACCAAGTCTATAAGAACAATAATTTGTATTTAATTAATTAATTTAATTGTATAAATCGAAACTAATTTTATTGTTATCCCATTGTGTTTCATTGTTGAACATTGTATTACATTTTTAGATTCTGAGTGAATAAGGAATGCATTGATTTTACTTTGTTTTTATTTTTTGTGTTTGTTGGGTTAGATTACAACGTACGAGTACGACTAAAAGGATTTCTGTGATCTAGATAATCATAAAAGATTTTTGATAGGTTATATTGTATAGTTGATAATTTAATGAAGGTAATTTAACAAATTTTCCTACAGGTTTCATAGTGATTGCGAAAAATTGACAAAAAATTAAAAAAAAACGGTACAATTTATGTCATACCGTTTCAACAAAATCAAATATTTATTCACATTGTAACTCAAAAAATAACAATCAAAGTTATTTACTAATAACTATATCATCGCATGTTATGGAAGGGACGATTTTAAAAGATATGTTTTAAGCTATTTATTGAAAATATTCATGTTTTCTTAGATTTATTTCGAAAATAACGATAAAATAATTTTAGTGTGACAAAATGTCTTGAAAATTTAATAAAAATTTCCTCATAAGTAAACATTACCGATTAAAGAATACAAATTGAATTAATAATAGAAAAAAAAAAAAAAAAATACAAACGTTTAAATATTAAATGTTGAGTGTACGATAAAATCACATGAAATCGCTACATTTTTGTGGCAAAAAATTCTGAAAATGTATTATTTTCAAGTTTGGCTTGAAAATTAAATTATTCACAAAATTCTATTTGTAAACCAAAAAATCATTATTGAAAAGTTGCAAAATGTCTAATGGTAGTTATATAATGAAATCGTATATTTCAATGAATTTTTATTAAATAAAATTAGTTATTTATTTAAAGATATTTTAATGAAGATTATGCCTTTTATAGGCGCATACAAAATTTGATTTCCCCAAATTTTAGTTGGCTTT